TGTGGGCTTGTGGGGGGTGCTAGGGGCATAGAACCAGCAAGGTATGTGGGAGCCTGGGACCTCATGTCTAGACAAGTGGAGCAAACTTGGGGATTTCCCCATGTGCTTGGTCCTGGGTGAGGAGAGGGGAGTGGAGAGCCTCAGGTTAGCATGCTGCCCTGGTGTGCTGGTGGACCAGGCATGGAGAACATCAATAGGCCTGGATCTTGGGTGTGTGGAGGAATAAGGCTTCAGGCTGGCACATGTGCCAGGAGCTTGGGACTCTGGTGGGTGGGAGAGCTCTGGATCAGCACATCAACCACTGGGCTTCCAAAGGCTGGGCTGGAGAACCCATGTGCTCCTGGGCACAAGGATTGTGGGATTGATTAGGGAAAGGGGGAAGAGGATATAGGGGAGGGAGGACCACTGTGGGAGTGTGTTGCAGGTGAGGAATGACTCGTAAGGGACTCCCAACGACAAGGCCACTGTACTTGTAGGTAAGCAAGGGGACTGGGACTTGGCAGTTTGGAGGGGAGAGGCCAGAGGACCTTTATGGGTCAGACAGATGCACCAGATCATATGGGACACCTGAGCTGGGCTAGTAAGCATGGAATACTGCTGATCACCACGCACCATCCCACAGAGAAGCTAGGGCTTGGGGCCTGTTTGGCAGGGCTGGATCATAGTACCTGCCAGTGAGAGTTGGAACAGGGGATGGGTACTGTTAGGCTGGGCCATGACACTAACCAGCATGCAAGAGAACAAGGTCTGGGGATGGATTCTGTGAGGGATAGGTGGACCTAACCCTGTGGAACTGCAAGTCCCGCTGGTCAGCTTAAGAGTTGGGGGTAGTGGTGGGCTGAGCTAGACGCAACCATGGAACCCGCTGTCACTCATTGCTACCAGGGCTGGGAACAGGTTGGGCAGGTCCAGGCTGCAGCACCCGCAGGCACACCCTGAAGCAGGGTATGGGTCGCCCAGGCTGCAACATCCACTAGCTCATACAAAGGCCAGGACAGAGGGGGCAGGGTATGCCAGGTAAGAGCCTAGAACCCACTCGCATATGTGAGATTTGGGTCTTGGAGTAGGCTTGGTGGGGAAAATTGGGAAATTCCCTTGGTGGGACATAGCTCCCACTGGTGAACATGGGGTTCAGGCCTGGGTGTTGGGCACGCTGTACAAGGTAGCTCCACCCATCGGCAAGTATGTGGGTTGATTTTGGAAGGAGGTGAGCCACGCAGGGCCAGGCCAACCTTACTCCACTGGCATGTGTAGGAGCCAAGCTGGAATGTAGGTCACACCGGGCTAAGCTATCACAGCTACCAGGTTGCATGAGAGAGGGATGGGAACAGACTGAGCAGGGCTGGGTTCCAGCATCCGCCAGATGGGATTAGGGGCTGGCTGAGTCAGGCCAGGCTGCAGCATCCAAAGGCAAAGGCCAAGACAGGTGAGGGGCTATTCTGAACTGGGTTGGAGCAACCACTGGCACGTGCAAGATCTGTGGCTGGGATCAGGCCTGTTTGGGGAGCTAAGGAGATGCTTTGGCTGGGTAGTTCCCACTGGTAAGCACAAGGGCTGGAATGAGAGGCTACGATCTGGTCTGGAATGACTGCAGTGTCCCTTGGCACAAGTGTGGACTGGGTCAGAGATTTGCCAGATTGGGCTAGACTCCAGCACCCACTGGTGCTCATGAGAGCCAGGGTAGGTGTAGGATGGGTTGGGCTAGGTTTCTGCCACTCCTGAGCCACATGTGAGCTGTGTCTGGTCATAGACCAGGTTTGGCTGGGCTTGTAGCACTTAACATTAAGAACCAGCATGGGTGAGGGCCAGTCAGGAAAGGCCACAGGAGGTGGACTAAGTTGAGCTGGCCCATGAACCCACCGGTGTGTGAGATCTGGCATTGTGAGAGGTTCTCATGGAGAAGCTTGGGGAACTCCTCTTTCAGGACACAGTCACAGTAGGTGAGGACAAAAGCCAAGGCAATCTGCAGCTTGGTCTTGAGCAGCTCAGATTAGGCCAGGTTACAGTACCTGCCACTATTGGTGTGTTTCAGGTCTGGGAGCGAGCCAGGTTGGGCCAGTTCATATCACCTGCTGGCAGATCTTGGAACCAGAATGGGGTGCAGGACAAGATGGGTCATGCTGCAACACCAGCCATTTCACATTAGGGCCAGTACTAGGGGCTGGCTGGACTGGGCTAGGCTGTAGCCCCCACCAGCATGAGCTGGAACATGGGGTAGGCTGGGCCATGCCAGGCTACAGCACCCACGGCAAAATGTTGAGGTGAAGCAGGCTATGCCAGATTGGGCCGCAGCACCCACCAGTACATGTGAGATCCCAGGGTGGGGTCCTGTGAGCCCAGTAGCGGGACTGTGGGGTCCTCCCTCCTGGGTCACTACTCTCACTGGTAAGTGTGAGAGCTGGGACTGAGGGCAAACCAGGCCAGGCAGGGCTATAACATCTGTTGGCTTGCATGTAAGCTGGGTCAAGGAGAAGGCCAGGCTAGGCTGACTGTACCCATTGGTGCATGCATGAGCCAAAGAATGGGTGTGGGTTGGTTGGGCTTTGCCACAGCATTAGCTGGCACATGCTGGCACTGGAAGCAAATCCTGTCAAGCTAAACTGCAGAATCACCTGGGAAGTGCAAGATCCGAGAGTGGGAATGAACCCAGGAGGGAAACTGGGTACCTCTCTCTTGGGTTGCCACTCCCACTTGTGAGCATGAGAACCAGGACTGGGGGGTGGTTATGGCTAGACAGAGTAGCACCCACCAGTATGAGTGTGGGCTGGATAATGGGGCTGGTTAGGTTGAGCTAGGCTTCAACACCCATTGACATGTACAAGAGCTGAATAAGATGTGGGACAGACTGTACCTGTTTGTTGCACATATTGGCAAGCACGGGAACCAGGGCAGGGCATGGGCCTGGTGGGAATTATAGGAGGTCAGTCTGACTAGGCCACAACTCCCTCTGGTGTATGTGAAAACTGAGTGTGTGGTGGGCTGGGCTGGGCCACGCCACGGCATCCACTGGTTTGTATAGGAGATGGAACTGACCCAGGAACTGCAACTATCGGTGTGTGAGCAGGATGACATGGGTGACCCGGTATTGGCAAGCACACACAAGAATCAGGTTTGGGATCTCCTCAGATGAGGTTTCTTTGGGGAATCCCCTCAACTGAACTGATGGATTCAGAACTCCAACCAGGGGGGAAGAATTGCAGGATCTGTGGTCTGACCGTGGAGTACATGTGTCAAAGCTGGGCCTCCTCAGTGACTTAGACTGAGCAGTGGACAGCATATCCAAATGCCCATGGGGGATATGGTAGTCTGTTGGAGTCTGCAGAGGAAGTAGGGCAGAACAAATTTAACATCTACCCCAGCTAATCATTGGCAGTGACTATCGGGGCAAATGGAGACTCTATGGACTATGTCAGCCACTGGATCCTGGAGAGATCTCATGCTTGGAGCAGCGTGATTGACAGCAAATCAGAACTAATGAACTATCAAAACCACTTGAGCAGGATGCTCCCTAGGAGCATCAGGGACCCTGGGATGGCAGCGGGTAGCCTTCCTGATCCCAGGGTACAGTCAGTTGGGAGACTGGGTGTGGCTTTTCCTGTATCTTCCCCCAGAAACAAGACGACAAAAAAAGAATGTGGAAACAATGGTCTCACCCTTTTTCTCTAACCCTTTATCCGTCTCACCCTCATCAACTACGTAAACATCATCAAAAATAAAATTGATCTTAAAAAAAGAAACTGTGGTATTCTCATTACCTAATGTTCCCAATTGCACCTTAAAAAAGAGCAGCATTAATTTTTAACAAACTGTGTCTCAAGATTAAATGTTTGGAGTAAATATTTATAGCTAATCATATTCATTGCTTGAAATTTTGTATAATTTTGGGAATTAAAAAAGTTTTGTAATTTATTTTCTGATTTTTTTTCCATATTGCAGATTTACTAGATTAAAAGTTGAGCCCAAATACTCAAAAGAATATTCAAAAGACTATCACCTATATTACTTAAGTCATTTTATAGCAAAATTTCTTGAGAAACTGAAAATCACACACATGTTCTTTTGTCAGCAGTTTATTTATGTTATTCTATTCTCATTCTCTGACATTGGAAAGAGTAAAAAATATTTGCTACTGTTCACATACGAAATGGTTGCAAAGTGACAGGCTGACTTCTTGTTGGTTAACACCACTTTCCTGATATCTGAAGTGAATCTTCAGATCTCGGAAATATGTTTAATAGAGATAGGAAACAGTAATCCAATACTAACAAATGCTGAATAAAAAGCTCTAATAGTTGTATTAAGGGTGATAGAAATTACACTTGAACCTGGAAATTTTAGTTAAGTTCCTTTCGAAAGCTTCTAACGATTCATTATTTTCTTTAGGTTTAACAAAAGGCAGTTGTAGAAGATTGTGTGAAATATACTTGGGCTACTTTTTGGTAAGCTTCTTGATTTGGTATTTTTAGTTAAACAGTCAATTGTAATGGTCCATGGATCTAAAAGTCATCCTTACATGTCTCCTGCAAACCTTGAGTGCTTAATGATAGAATGTTTTAGAAAGAATCCTAGAAGTCAAGCAACTTCAAATATATTCTTGGAAAGGGAGGTAAGGAGTAATTTCAGATTCCATTTAACTTCTTTGGTTTCAATATTTATAAATAACATAATATCCTCTATTTGCTTTTTGCTAAAATGTTTGAAATTGAGAAATATATTGAAGGTATTGAACTACTGAAGTGATACTAGTTTAACCTTTGTGTAGCAATCTAATTTTTCAAAGTCAGCTCTGGGCATGGAGTTACTGAAGGCACTTGCTTCTCGTTGGTTAAAACATTGATGAAAGTCTAACACAGCAGGCCCCATTCCTAATGCTCCACCTTCTGTTCACAAAAGAAATGTACTGGCAATTTTAGATTGTCAAAACAGTAACTTGAGGTCTTTAGATTTGTGACAAATCACACCCAAAAGTATTTCTATTGGTAACATTTTGCCTGAGGCTTACTAGGAAAAATGTTAATTCTGTCAGATTTTCATCTAATATCTTAGGATATTATAGGACATGGGGAAACATAAATCAAGGTAAAGTTTTCCAGATAATTTTAAAATTTTGCAACATGATTTTAAAGGTGGAATGCCTCTTGTTGAGGGAAAGCTTGCTGCAAGTACAGCTGCTCAGCTCAGCAGAGTATGTCTTGTGTACCTCTCTAAGTCAAAGAATCAGAATGTCCTTATTCATAAATTTGACTTGTGGAGCATGAGAGAAAATAAGAAAAATTATGACATCCTTGGAACAAGTTAACATAAAATATGCACATACAGATCCTGAGTTGTTAAAATAAACTAAAAAAATTATATATGGATCAACGTGATCCAAAAGGTTTCTGAGACACCGTTATGGTGGGTCAACAGCCTTATTACAGTATATGTTGCACGGATATCTACATCGTTTCAGTAGTGTCTTCACTACCCTTGGTCTCCACATTGGATAAATTAGTCTTCCAGAGCAGGTGGCCAGTCAACATCCACAGACTAGAAGGGAGAAAACAGGCATTAAAACAGCTCAGACTCTTCAGATAAGCATATGTTGGTAACACTGTGCCAACATAACCATTTTCTCTGTAATGCACAACAGGAGAAAAGCATTTGAAGGCTTATTGAATAACACAATTTAAATGTTCTATGTTCATTCTAGGGTTTCTAGGACTCAAGGTATGTTTCTGAATTAACCAAGTAATGGAATTTTATTACTCAGATGATTCACAATGCCTTTTGATTGACAAGAGAATAAGCTCTTAAAAGTTATAATGTCACTTATAGGTAAAACAGACAAATTCAGATGGCTATACCAATTTTCCTTCAGCAACTTCAGTTTTCATTCTGACAATTTGCATCCTCTCATCTTGCATTTAACAAACACACAGATAGTATATAAACCTATTAGCCTCATGTGTAACCTAGCAACTGAATCTAAAAGACATGAAAAAGCACTTGGAACTAGAAAAGGATGAATTATCTTTGTGTTTCAATTTAACATCTTTGATTCATTCAAAATTTAAATAGTCTATTTCTTCTTCTCTTCATTTGACTTTCCTGGAACAAAACCTTGACCTTTGAGTTATAATGAAATTACAGTAAGTACACCCTTTTGCCTACAAATAAACAATTACATTTCTCACATGCCAAACCACATTATATTTTAACTGCTTATGGGGAATGTATTTTAAGAGAAGGTTCAAATAGCCATAATTTTTATTGACATTAAAAGTTTAAAAACGAAAATGCTGTAACAAAAACATTTTCATTAGCCCAAGAGATGCTTTCCCAACTCAGAAAAATTTAGATAACAGGGGCTTGCATTATGCAAATTATGCAAATAACAGAGGCCGGAATAAGCCCCTGCTTGCAATGCAAGCATTCCACTGCTAGTGCTGATTTGAGATCCAGTTGATCTGCTTCCAATCCAACTTGCTGCTAGTATGTCTGGGAGAGCAGGTCTCTCACATGGGAGACCCAATGGGAGTTCTGGGTTCCTGGCTGTGGCCCAGCCCCAACCACAGCAGTATGGCCATCTGGGAAGTAAACTAGTGAATGGAAGATTGCTCTGTCTTTAACATTTTAAAAATCTTTTTAAAAATCCAAACTTTTTAAAAGATCTGTTTTATTATTTGAAAGGCAGAGTTAACAGAGATGGAGAGAGACAGAGAAACTTTCACCAGCTGGTTCACTCCCCAAATGGCTACAACAGCTAAGCCAGGGCTGTACCACGCCAAAGTCAAGCGCTTCCAGGTCTCTGGTGGGTGGCAGGGACCTAAGCACTTGGGTCATCTCCACTGCTTTCCCAGGCACATTAACAGGAAGTGGAGCAGCTGGTTCTTGAATTACTGCCCATAAGGGATGCTGGCTCTCCAGGCAGAGCCTTTACATGCTATACCACAGCACCAGTCCCAAGTCAGATAACTTTAACATGTGTGTCTCTTGATATTTTGGTGGTTTCAGAATATAGACACATACCAAACATTCACATACAAGTTCATGAGTGGTTTTTCAAACTGAATATTTAACATCACTGATGTGTGTTGAGGGTAAAGGATGGTAGCCATGTTGTGTTATCTAAACACTCCACAGGTTATTCTAGTGGACACTCGGGGTTGAGAAACAATGGCCTGTGACTCCTGGAAACTCCTACACTCTCAGAATGTTCTAAGAATGAGGGCCAAAGAGGTGAATGCAGGCAAAAACAAAAAAATTTCCTTTCTCATAATGATGGTCTGCACAGGCAGCCCTGCCGCTGCTTTGTCCCCAGCAGGCCACAGGAGCTGTAGATAAGCTCCTCTGAGGGACCCGGGTGTGATCATTTGGTCACCACAGCTGCCTTCATACTAGGGAATGGCATCCACCTCTTTCTAGAACTTCAAGGTCTCTCCCAAGCACAAAATGCTAGCTAGCCTCTCCTAAGACTGGGAGATGGGGTGAAGGATAGACTGTATTCCTCATCAGACTTGCACCAAGGAGCACAACATACAACTCTGTTTGATACTCAGGTGAAACATCCATTGTTCTACTTCATTTAGAATTTCACCTTTAATCGGCGCAGCACCAGCCGTTGCGCTCATTTGGGGAGTGAATCATCGGATGGAAGATCTTCCTCTCTGTCTCTCCTCCTCTCTGTATATCTGACTTTGTAATAAAAATAAATCTTTAGAAAAAAAAAGTTCTATGACCTTTCTACAAACTATTAATTTCCAAAGGGAAGAATGACTTCACTGTAAGCAGACAAGCTTGGTAGACAATGCCTTAATCGGGTGATCAATCTTTAAAAAAAAAAAAAAAGAATTTCACCTTTAGATTTAAGAGCAGAGAACATGGGCCACGTGACATGGGTCCAGCATTATAGAAATGCTGCTATTAACAACCATTGGCTCACCCCATTCACTCCCCACACCCCTCACCCCAACCCTGCCTGTACATTTCTGAGCAAGCTACCTTAAAATTCTTTATAAAACAAATATATTCTTTTGATTTTGAAGGACATATGAAGGCCATTACTACTCTTTTTTCCTTTGCTTAATGATTACTTTATGTAAGGCATAAAGTGACTTTATGTAAAATAAATGAATATTTAAAATAGTAAATGAGACTTTTTATTTTTAAAAAAATATTTCTGTAGATATTTCTTTCATGCAAAACAATGCTACTGTGAAATTTTGATTATTTTCTAGTGCCTATGAAGCTGGTAGTATTATCTGACTTAGTGGCACGGAGTCTAACTGTAACTGAATTTATCCGCAAATGCGCAATCCACTGTGAGATGACTTACCTCAACATCCAGCTCAAGAATGTCTGCAGTCACACTCATCAGAGAGCCAATGTTAGGCTTGGTTCTCCCAAAGTCTCCATGAACAAACTCCTTAATGTAGCTGGGTTTGTTTCAGGAAAGCAAACAAATAAACAAACAAACAAACAAAAAAAAACACAGCAATGCAATACCAACCAGTTGGCAATATTTGACAAGCGAAAGGACAAAACACAAAATAGTAACATTAGAAACATCTTACTTGGGATATATAGTTTAGAAAATAAGTATGGTGCCTGGCACAATAGCCTAGTGGCTGAATCCTCGCCTTGCACACCCTGGGATCCCATGTGGGCGTCAGTTCATGTCTCAGCTGTTCCACTTCCCTTCCAGTTCCCTGTTTGTGGCCTAAAAAAGCAGTAGGGGATGGCCCACAGCATTGGGACCCTGCACACATTTGGGAGACCTGGAGGAAGCTCCTGGCTCCTGGCTTCAGATGGGCTCAGCTCTGGCCATTGTGGCCATTTGGGGAGTGAACCAGCAGATGGAAATCTTTCTCTCTGTCTCTCCTTCTTTCTGTAAAATCTAACTTTCCAATAAAAATTTAAAAATAAATGTTTAAAAAAAAATAAGCATTTAAAACTGGCAATCATTCAGGACCCAGGATCTGTGTTTATACTGAATGTACCAAAAGCCATGATTTTTCTTTTCATTATGGTTTATCCAAGTGTCAAGCTATGTATATGGGATTTAGAAATTAGGTACAGAGGCAGCTGTTTGGTGCAGCAGTGAATGTCACCTTTGATGCCTGCTTCTCACATTAAAGTGCCTCGTTCAAGTCCCGACTCCACTTGCCATTCCACATTCCTGGTGATGCATTCCAGGGGAAGCAGCACATGGTGGCTCCAACAGTTGGGTCTCTGCCACCCACCTACCCAGGGGAACCAGGCCGAGTCCCTGGCTCCTGATCCCACCCTGGGTGTTGTGGGGACTTGGGGAGTGGACCAGAGGATGGAAGATCAATTCTACTCAATGATTTAAAAATTTTTTTTTCACAATTTCTATTTTAACATCTGTCTAGTCCTGTTTTTTGCATAATGGCAGGTGGCACGTTTCCACCAGGTCACACATGACATGGATTCAATAATAGCTTTCCTTGTAATGTGATCCAGGAGCAATAGGAAAGAACAATAGGACATTCATTTAGTTTAGATGAAGTTCCTTCAGAAAAATGATCAAAAGTCCTCCATTCTAGTTGTTTGAAAACATAGTTAGCAACAGAGCTATTTATTTCTCTTTTCCCTCAAGGCATGCAAAGAAAGTACATAGTAAATCTGGGTCTGTCAATATTTGTCAGCCCAGCTTGTGAATAACACCGTGTGTCTTTTTACAACTCAGATTTTTTAGGGACACAGGCTGTTGTTCTGGGCCATTGGCCAAATAAAGTTAAACTCAATATGTAAAGAGTCACCATTCCTATCTACTAACTGTTTATTCATCTGCCGAGTGCTTGAAATGCTAATAGGACCCAAATATGGTTATGAATCTGTGACTTGCATAATATGTAAAGACAGCAATTGAGTCCATGAGAAGTGTTTTCTTAGTATTTCCTGTGTGCTCAGCATGGCATTGTAATTACATCAAACATAAATAATTTCAAAGGTGACATTAAGCTGATTGTAACTCATGATTTAAAAAGTCTTTAGGGACACTGGCATTGTGGTAAAGCTGATGCAGCCACCACCTGCAATGCTGCCATCCCATACGGATGCCAGTTCAGGTTTCAGCTGCTTCAATCCTGATCCAGCTCTGGCCATTATAGCCGCTTAAGAAGTGAACCCATAGATGAATGACCTCTATGTCTCTATTCCTCTCTTTCAAATAAATACTTAACAATAAGGTCATTTTGAAAACCACAAAGGCAGGGGGAGTGGCTGCTTCTCCATAGTACTTGTAATACTTTCCTTAATACCTTCCAGACCAAGCAGGGCCTCCCTGAGGCCAGTAGCAACACTTCCAATAGTGATTCTGGTTCTGTCACTGTGGTATAGACAATGAAAGGATACGTCCCAGCTTGAGTCTTGAGAAAGAGGCGAAAATGATGCTCATCCACATAGTGTGTCTCCATGGAGTGAATGACACGAGTTCTCACGGCCAAGGGCCTGCGGTGGAGGACCCGGAGCGGTGTTTTCTGGTCAATCTTGAGGTCCTGGAGAGATGGTTACAGAATCAGGGTGCTGCCACCTGGGGAATGCCATCTTTGCCCCTCCATCAGGCATCACTTGCCACAGACAGTTGCATATATTACACAGAATGTTATACATCTGTAAGAGTAACAGATGGACAGAGACAGCTCTTCCATTCCCTAGTTGATTCCCTAAATGCCCAAATGGGTCTCCTAGGCAGGAGAACTCGAGCCATCATCTGCTGACATTTTAGTGACACAGGCTTGCTCTTCTTACAGTGAGTTCAAATGACACCTTTTATGTTACAAAATACAAATCAAGAAATAAAGATTAATACTGCAAAAGGTCAGTTCATTCCAATTTTAAAATGGACCCTGGGTATGACCAGAAATGCCAGTTCCTGAGAACTCTGGGTTCTCTGCCATTTCTTGTTGGAACGATTCCTCTTTTATAAACAAGAGGGAGGGAGTGCCTGGAGCCCTGCTCAGAATGGCAAGGTTTCCATCTGGTCTCTGCTCTGTCGAGTTTTCCACCAAGAAAGGAAAGGCAAGTTCTGACACAGACCACACTGCAAAGGGCTTGGCTGCTTCGAGCAGAGCAGCCAGTTACTGACTCCAAACTGTAGTTTTTATGCTTAATTCTTCGATTTTAGAGACATTATTATGCTAAGATCAGCCATTTCCACAAGGTTTGTCTTTTCCATGGACAAAACGACCAGTAAAGGAAAAAGCAATTAAGGAATCTATAAAAATACAGGCTCCACAAAGAGCCTGCTCTTCACGAGCAGCTGTGGAATGAGCACAGTCCTCCGCTTCCTTCACCTGAGTCAGTCCAACAGCCGTTGGACTGAGTTGGCCAACAGAAGTGCCAGTGGGCTGCTAGACCCACCCTTCCCAGCATCACGCTCAGATCTTCCTGTGCATGGGGTTCTTTTCTGTCCCTGTTTTTAGCTGACAAAAAGAAAACATTTGCTCTATATTGCATTCTGCTTTTCTCATGGTGGATTTTCAGAACCACTTTTTGTTGTTTTTGTTTTCTAGAATTAGGCTGCCCTTAAAAGGAGGGACAAAAAAAGGGAGGGGGAGGATAATACACTTAAAGTGACTTTTTCTCAGAATGGGAAACTAATTCATTTTTATGCCAACATGAATATTTGAAAACTATAAAAATGTCACTAGAAATCAACTAATCTCATCAGCCTGTTTGGGCTACAGAGCATTACAACAGATCCTTTCCCCACTGTGTTCCTATGAAAATCATCTTTTCAGCCAGCATTATTTCTGAATGAAATTAAGAGCTACCAAGCCCCAACCATGGATCTATCTTTTTGAAAACTGAATTTAGGGACAAGCATCATGGTGTGGCAGGTAAAGCTAAAGCTTTGAAGCCTATATCCCATAAGAACCTAGTTTTGTGTCCCTGCTTCTCCACTTCCAATCCAACTCACTGCTAATGGCCTGAGAAAAGCAGCAGAAGATGGCCCAAGTTCTTGGATCACCACACCCATGTGGGAGACCTAGATGGAGGTTCTGGTTCCTGTCTTCAGTCTGATCCAGCACTAGCCACTGTGGCCATCTGGGCACTGAACCAGCAGGAAGATTTCCTCCCCCCACCCTCTCTTTGTAATTCTTTCAAATATAAATAAATCTTGCATAGTAAAAATTTTATTCTTTGAGGAGCATCTCTAAGCAAATGAATAATGTCACTGAGAGTCATAAGACTTTACTCTGTAATTTTTCTCCTCATAACATAGGTGCTCTCTCCAGTTACATTTCCCCCGTAACCTTTTTAGCCTTGTATATATATATATATATATATATATATATATATATATATATATATATATGCATGTTAACATAAATTAAATGGGATCATATACTGTTCTCCTAATTTGAAAGATAGACATAACAAAAGATTCAGACAACTAGAGACCTTCCATTTACTGGCTAATACCCCAAATGCCTGCAATAACTAGTTCTGGATAAAGCCAAAACCAGGAGCCGATAGCTCAGGGTCTCCCATGGTGACATGGCGGAAGCTATCACCTGCTCCTCCCACACTGTGTATTAGCAGGAAGTTGGAATCAGGAGTAGAACCAGAACTCAAATCCGGTACTCCACAGTGGATGTGGGCATCCCAAGAGGCATCTCAACAAATATACCCAATGCCCACTCTGTTGTTGCTGTCACTCTGAACAGAGTTAATTATCATCCCTGTGCACACTCAAGTTTTATCTCTGTAAGAAAGATTATCAGTAGAGGGAGTACTGGGTAGAAGACCAATGCATTATTTTATTTTATAATCTTTGCCATGTTGCTTTCCAAAAAGCCAAAATGCAAACTATTCTACATTGCAACCCTAGGGTTGGTGTTATTGCTCCAACAGAAATGAGTCTTACTGTGACTTCTGTCTGGAGGTGGAGCATCTTTTCAAATAGTTCTTAGTTTATTAAGGTTGGTCTTTATTCCATCTGCCTGTTCATATCTTCTGCACATTTTTGTCTGTTGTATACATGTTTCCTATGACAAGTATTTATCCTATTTATGGTGTCTTCTGCCATACAGTATATTTTCTATAGTCATATATATACATATATATGTATGTACAAACATATGAGTATGTGTTCAAATCACAATTTCTCTACTTCTGTCTACTGATTTTTCCACTTAGTAACACTTTCTGATGTGAGTAAATATGTACCAGTATATGTTGATTTTTAATATCTGGACAGTGATAATTCATTATGATAAAGATAAGAAGATGCAATATTTAACCAGCCCCCTCTATTAGGTCATTGAAATTGTTAGCAAATACTGCCCATTTAATTTTTTAAACTCTTCATTTTATTTGAAAATCAGAAAGACAAAGAGATCCTTTATTCATGGTTTTCTTTCTTTTTTTTTTATTTATTGGAAAGTCAGATATACAGAGAGGAGGAGAGACAGAGAGGAAGATCTTCCATCCTATGATTCACTCCCCAAGTGAACACAATGGCCAGTGCTATGCCGATCCGAAGCCAGGATCCAGGAAATTCTTCCAGGTCTCCCACATGGGTGCAGGGTCCCAAGGCTTTGGGAGGTCCTCAGTTGCTTTCCCAGGCCACAAGCAGGGAGCTGGATGGGAAGTGGAGCTGCCGGGATTAGAACTGGTGCCCATATGGGATCCCGGTGCGTTCAAGGTGAGGACTTTAGCCACTAGGCCATGGCGCCGGGCCCTATCCATTGTTTTCTAATTCAAACGCCAACAGCCAGGAATAGGCCAGGCCAAAGCCAAGAGCCCAGAAGTCAATCCAGGTTTCCCACATAACAAAGACCCCAGTGTCTGACCCATCAGCAGCTGTTTCCCTGGGTGTGTGGCAGCATGAAACTAGATCAGAAATGGAGATTACTTGGACTAGACTCTCTGATGTAAGATATGGGTGTCTCAAGTGGTGACTTAACTGCTGTACCAAAGTTCTGCTACAAAATATTGTCCATTGGGCCCGGAGCGGTGGCGCAGTGGTTAAGGTCCTCACCTTGCACGCCCGGGATCCCATATGGGCGCCGGTTCTAATCCCGGCAGCCCCGCTTCCCTTCCAGCTCCCTGCCTGTAGCCTGGGAAAGCAGTCGAGGACGGCCCAAAGCTTTAGGAACCTGCACCCGCGTGGGAGACCCGGAAGAGGCTCCTGGCTTCAGATTGGCATAGTATCGGCCCGTTGCGCTCACTTGGGGAGTGAATCTTTGGATGGAAGATCTTCCTCTCTGTCTCTCCTCTCTGTATATCCGCCTTTCCAATGAAAAAATAATAAAAATAAATCTTTAAAAAACAAAATATTGTCCATTTACACACTGTGGTAACCTTATACATCATAGAGACCATTAATGCTAATTTGGCATCTTTACAGTAAGTAGGGCAGGTAGGAAGAAAAATACAAACAGGTATCCTCTGTAAGTGACATGCGAGAAGGAAAATAGCACAGTCCATGAATGGGGTTTCTAATATTATCAGTGTTTTACTTGCACATTTTAGCATTAGTTCTGTTAGGTAACTTCCACTTTCTTCTTTTTTAAGATGCACTTATTTTTAATCGGAAAGGCCGACTTACAGAGAGGAGGAGAGAGAGATTTTCTATCTAAAGCTAAAATGATTCTAAACAGTAAAGGAGGCAATCGAAAAAGTGAAGAAACAAGCAAAGGAATGGGAGAAAATATTTGCACACTATACAACAGATAGAGGGCTAATATCCAGAATTTACAAGGGGCTTCAGAAAGTCAGCAACAACACAATAAACAACCCTGCGAAGACACATTTTTCAAAAGAGCAGATTCAAATGGCTAACAGAAATATGAAAAGATGCTTAGGCTTTCTAGCTGTCAGGAAACTACACTGAGGTTCTACCAAACTCCAGTGAGATTGACCTACATTAAAAACTGCCAACAACACTTACTGGCATGGATATGGGGAGAAGGGTACCTTCCTTCACTGCTCGTGGGAGTATAGTGTAGTACAACTATTATGAAAGTAAGTATGGAGCGTGCTAAGAGAACTGAAAGTTGACCTGCTGTATGACTCAGCTATTCCACTCCTGGGAATACATACAAAGGAAATGAAAACTGCTTATAAGAAAGGGATCTGTAATCCTATATTTATAGCAACTAAATCTACAACCCAAATGCTCATCATAAGAGGAGTGAATAAAGAAAATGTGGTACATCTACTCCACAGAATACTACTCAGTCATTAAAAATAATGAATTCTACCATTTGAACCAAATGGTCCCAGCTACAGACCATTAGACTCAGTGAAACAATCCCAAAAGGATAAATATTATATCTTCTCTCTGACATAAGGCAACCTCTATGCAAAATATAAGATCAATAACCTTTCAGTACTGTTTTTGCTACATTTCAAGGGGTTTGATATTTTTGTTTTAATTTTTATTCATCGAAAAAACAGTTTTTATTTTTCTTACTAATTTCCTCACTGACTGATAGGTCACACAATAGCATCATTTGCTTCAGGAAAGTTTGATTTTCTTTTCCATTTCTTCAGAGACATTTAGGTCATTCCATAGCATGCTATTTAACTTCAAGTTATTATAACTCTTCTATCTTTCTGTTGTTGATTTTGTTTTATGTCTTTTCATTTAAGGGGATGTATAGTAACTATGTAGTAGAGACTATCACATACAGATGTGAAGATACAACACAATGTAGATCTCTACTTCCAAATCAAAGATGGACCCCCAAAGAAATTGTTGAATATGTCTTGACAATATGATGCTGGACTCTGTCACTGTCCATACCTACAACATCAGGGTACACTTGAATAGCATAATCATGGACTCAGGACTGATTGTGAAGAACTATAGTATTGAAAATCAATGGAGAGATGGGGATTGGGTAATGGGGAGGGAAAATGTCACAGCCCATGGAACTGTATCATGGAATAATTAATTAATTAAAAATTCATTTATTTTTAATTGGAAAGACAGACTTACAGAGAGGAGACGAGATATAATGATTTTTCATCTGCTAGTTCACTCCCAAATTGGCTGCAATGGCTGGGGCAGAGCCAATCTGAACCCAGGAGCTTCCTCTGGGTCTCCCATGCAGGTGCAGGGTCCCAAGGCTTTGGGCCATCCTCTGCTGCTTTCCCAGGCCACAAGCAGGGAACTGGATAGGTAGGGGATCAGCTGGGACACAAACCGGCACCTGTATGCGATTTTGGTACTTGCAAGGGGAGGATTAGCCACTTGACTCAATGCACCAACCACAAGTTCTCTTTTCTGTATACTTATTTATAGAAGAGCAAATATAATAATAGCACTATTGAGTGCTTCTATGCCAGATAGTGTTCTTAAATGCTTTATAGGGTTATACTAATAAAAAGGTTAAATAACATCTCAAAAATCACACAGTTAAGAAATATAAGTCTAGAAACTGCATCAGGTAATCTTTGTTCAGGGTTAGGCTTTTGACCATTAACGATAATTGCCCTTCCATTGGGTTAGAAGAGTGGCCCAGCCAATCAACTAGTCAATGACAAAGGCAGAATGTGAATCTACATCTCACAGGCTCCAAAGCCTATGCTCTGTGTGACTCTCATTACTAACTAGAATGGACTCTTTTACAAACAATAGGAAAATGAAAAGAATGAGGGCTGGCCTAGTGGCATCCTGAGTTAAGCCTCTTTTTATAATGCCATTATTTCACGTGGGTGTTGGTTCAAATCCCAGATGCGACCACTTCCAATCCAGCTCCTGGTTAATGTGCTTGAGAAAGCAGCAGAAGATGGTCCTTTCTTCTTCTTGTGGCTTTGCCACCCACAAAGGAGACTCAGATGAAGTTTCGGGCTCTGGCCTTAGTTTGGCCCAGCCCTGGTCTTGGCTGATGTGGTCACTTGGGGAATAAACCAGCAGACAAGAGAACTCTATCTGCTTCTCCCTCTGTCTCTGTAATTCCACCTTAAATAAATAAACAGTACACAAATTACCTTTATATTATCGAGGAATTCAATGTCTTTCTTCTGGATTGTTTTATTTATCCATATTAAGGCACTGTAGGTCTTGGTCTTTTCTTCTTCACCTTCTTTCATATGTCCTATTGCCTCTCTAAATAAAAACAAAAGTTTGTCTAAATGCATCAAATACACACAAGCATTACACTAAACTCTTTACGGAGATAGAATCTGCATGTAATTTGTCCTTTTTAATTATAATTCAATGAATTTTTGAATTATTTATAGAAATGCCTCCATCACCACAATCTCATTTTTAAATGCTTTTATAATTCTCTAAAAGAAACTCCACAGCTAGCAGTCAATTTCCATTCCCCTTGAACTTCTGCCCTACATAATCACTAATCAATTTTCCATCCTTAAGATTTACTTATTGTAAGCATTTCACATAAAATGGAAGCATACAGTATGTGATGTTTGCCGACTGACTTCTCTTATTCTTACAGCTGCATGTATCAGCACTTAACTCCTTTTGATTATCAAATGGTTTTCTATTGTACAGACACACAACAGGCCATGGTGGTAGTACCTATAGCCAATTGCAGCCCCAAAACAAATACATTTATTGTTCCATTTTACTATTAGTTATTGCTATTGATCTCTCACTGTTAATTCATACATTAAACTTTATCATAGCTATACATGTAAAGAAAAAAACCTAGGACATAAAGTTTAGAATTGTAGGTGGTTTCAGGAATCAACTTGAAGTTCCTGCAATGTACCTCCTCAGATAAATGGAACTAAGTCACATTTTTATGCATCTATACATCTTTCTGTAGCTTCTCCATCTGTACTGCCATGAAGAATACTACTATGAACATTTATGTCCAAGTCTTTATGGGGATTTAGTTCTCATTTCTCTTGCATATTCCATAGCTAGAAATGGTTGCTTGCTCATATGTAACTCTTATGTTTGACCTTTTGAGAAACCATCCAATTGTTTCCCAAAGTGGCCACACCAGCAATGTGTGTTCCCGTTTCTCCACATCCCTCACCAGCATCTGCTTTTTTCTGTATTTTTCATGATAGTCATCCCAGTAGATTTGAAGTGAGATCTCACTGTGATGTGAACACTTGCTCATGTGTTTACTGGCTGTCGGCATATCCCCCTCAGAGGGATGACTGTTTAATGGTTTCTCCATGTGAGGTGATTTGTTAGAGTCTGCTTAAGTTCTGGAGGCAGTTCCCTCTTCAGGCACGTGGTCTATACCTCCTTGCTTGGAATCACTTCTGGTGCACCTAGCCCTTACCTTGTCACAAGCTGCAGGTCACGCACTTGGATTTTATTAGATGACTTATTAATTTTCTGTGGTAGCAGAAAAGGGAAAACAATTAGCAGCTCTAGCTTAAATACAAAGTGGTGAGAACACAATGAATTCCATGACATGAGGTGGCTTACCTGCTGAAGTTCCTTAATTTCTTGTGAAGTAAAGTGAACTCTGTGAGGATTCACCAGTTCAACAGCAAAAGGCCTTCCTGGCAGCACACACCCCCAGGAAACAGAAACGTGGGGAGAGTTAACATCCGGGCCAAGGCAACAACAGGATGGGGGAGTTCACATCTGGGCTATGGCAACAGGCTGCGAGGTATGAGAAGCAGGCTGAACTCTAGAGGACTGAAAGTTAGTGACATGGCTTGATCTGGGGAAGGGAAGAATGCACGAGAAGAATCAAGGGCTTTTGGGCAGTGGGGGGCATGCTAAACCCCAACAGAGTAATTTGTGAAAACAAATGCCTTCCCAAAGGTCCATGGACAAGCCTTTGTTAATTACCAGATGAAATTCAAACAACCACTAATTAACCAGCAGGACACTATGCACACAGCAGTGCCCTGGTACACCAAGCTAAATCCTCCTTCCTAGCCTAACCCAAAAGTGAGCTGGAAATGCTGTGATTCCCCAGCAAGAAGGAGTGTTCATGTCACACAGCTCAGGATTAAGTCTCACCAGTTTTTTTTTGTATTGCAACAAGACAAAATGACAGTATACAATATTTAGGGAGCAGAATCACCTCTCAATGGAAATGTGCATCCTGAAAACTGTACTGGTACTTCTAAAATATCAAGTGAGACAACTAATAAACCTTTGGGGAAAAAAAAAATCAGGCATTTTTTTGTGGATGCACATGGAAGTCCCTTGCAACTGGGAGCTGTGTAAGGAAGATAGCCCCTGCTGAGACTGGCCTAATGTAAGTGATAAAGGTGGCTCCAAACTTTCCCTGGAGAAGCTTGGATGGCGCCCACTTGGGTTCCACTAAACTACCTGGAAAGGGCAATGAGCGGATTAGCTCTAGGTGATGCTGGAGCAGGCTTACCATTTCCTAATGTTCTCACATCCACATCTTCTCTTCCGGAGGATGAAAAATTAAAACCTTTGGAAATGAGATAAAGAAAAAAAAGTCAGAGACACAATAACCCTAGTGTGCTAGAAACCCAGGGTAAGGGCTTGAACAACAAATAGGAGAATCTCAAGGGATAGTCATCATACCTCCTCTTACCCAGATATCTGCTAAAAACAGTAATGAAAATTACAAATACCATTTACGGAGTACTTACTACATGCCAGGCAGTAAGTAAAAATAACACAAAAATCATTTTACTTAATCTTTATTACAACTTTATGAAGCAGGTATTAAAAACCACCAAGCTTCAGAAAGTAGGTAATTTTAGAGCTTGTGCTGTGGCAAAGTTGCTGCCTGCAATGCTAACATCCCATATAGCATCTGGTTTGAGTCCCAGCTCTTCTGCTTCCAGCCCAACTCTCTCAGTAGAAGATGGCCCAAGTCCCTGGGACCCTGTCACCCATAAGGGAAGATCAGGAAGAAGCTCTAGGCTTCTTCCTGGACCAACCCTGATTATTGCGGTCATTTGGGAAGTGAACCAAGTGTTCTCCTCCCTCCATACCCTATTCTCTGTAGCTCTGCCTTTCAAATTATACTCAGCGGCACTCATACATGGTATGTCTGAACCAGCATAGCTAGTTCAGTAGTTTGGACTTCATCCTACAGCCAGTTTTCAACCTGTTTTCACCAAGGAACTGACATGACAACAAGTGACCTTTTAAGTGAAGTCATAATTATATTAGAGAAAAGTTTCTTAAATACACTGATGTTAACAGTGCGTTAAAAATCTGTTATGAACTAACTAGGGGGTTGGCAAATAGACTGTCAATGTGCCAATTCAAAGTGAAAGTGAAACATGTGCACATGTGCCACTGAGTAGCATCATACAGGGTTAGCCAAGCTGCCGCATAAAATACCTGTCCATCTCAGAGATGGCAAACTTAGAAACAGGTGCCTAGACTTGTCACATATGACCCATTCATAAGAAATAACAAGCGCCATGTGTGAGAAGCACATGATGAGCATGGGATGCCATTAATCAGATTCCAAAGAAGGATTGGGACCCTGACCCAGAGCCAGTTAGCACAGCGGCCCAAGGCCTGCTACACTCAAGAGTTCTCCATCAACTCCTCCCACATACATAGATGCTGAGCCCACACTCTGCTTCCTGGGTAGGGGTAACTCTCCCTCCACCTATGAAAAATGGCCATAAACTACCCTCATGAAGAGTTCAGCAGGGTGAGCAGAGTGAAAACAGCTGTGTCCAAGGCCCTGCAGCCACTCTTCTGGAAAGGAAGCCCAAAGACTCTGAAAAAGACTTTTTGAGTTAATACTGCATTTTCAGTTCTTCATAACTTGTTTGAGTATAAGACCAATTAGATGAAGTTAAGTAGACAAATAGTAAACAAAATTAAGTAGACAAAACTGCCCAGGCTCTTCACCACTAAGATTTTGGAAAGCTGTAAGATGAATGGGTTAATTTCTTCTCCATGCAGAAAATAATCCTTGAACACCCACAGGGACAGGGCCCACCCTCCTAAAGGACAGTGACTTGTAAGAGTGCTTTGGTTTGAAGCGTTTCTCTTTCTTTTTGCCAGGGTGCAGGGCAGGAGGGGGCAGGGATTTGTCGTCAAGGCCATCTGCTTGCCATTCTCGAAGCTCACACATCTTCAGCTTTCCCAGGAAGGAGTAAGATGTCTAGCTGAGCCCCCGAAGCCAACTCCTCTCATTGTGGTAGCAGCCCTTTTCAAAAAAGTACCCTCACTCTCTCACTCATATTTTTCCTGGCATAGGATGTGATTAATATCAATTGAAATCTTAGTCCCTTTCTTCTGGGTCAAACCATAAGATTTTGTGTTACCACTGCCCCTACAAGTCGGCTGAGAGAAGGAAAGCCCAAGCCTGGTATCTGACTCATCCCATACACTGGGCTCGTTGATAGTGATGAAATTGAAACACAACACAGCTGCAATTAAGTCATCCTGAAATTGTTACCGTCGATTTTCTTTAGGCCTGAACTTTATCCCTGGAAAACTTATAGATGATCACAAAAGTCACACATTTCCAGGTGCTCATTCTGACAACCACTGGATGTAGAAGCTCCCCCCCCAGAAAGGCTGGGGCTGATACATGCTAAGATGAAGCCTTACAGCGAATCATCTGCAGTAGCTTCAGTTGTTTGGGATTTGCCCAGGAACAGTCATCTTTAGAGAGGAAAGCCCTTGGATGTCTATGCTGAAATCCAGATCCAGCCCTGACTACCAAAGTCGTGCATGTGACAGTCTCTGTGCATGGCACACCTGCAGCCAAAGACTCAAGACTCGGTAGTGATTGATGTAACACAGGAATCAATTCTTGAAGGACAGCACATTTAAAAGACAAGTATTAGGGCCCGGCGGCACGGCCTAGCGGCTAAAGTCCTCGCCTTGAACGCACCGGGATCCCATATGGGCACCAGTTCTAATCCCGGCAGCTCCACTTCCCATCCAGCTCCCTGCTTGTGGCCCAGGAAAGCAGTTGAGGACCGCCCAAAGCCTTGGGACCCGGCACCTGTGTGGGAGACCCGGAAGAAGTTCCTGACTCCTGGCTTTGGATCGGCATAGCATCGGCCATTGCGTTCACTTGGGGAGTGAATCATAGGATGGAAGATCTTCCTCTCTGTCTCTCCTCCTCTCTGTATATCTGACTTTCCAATAAATAAATAAATCTTTAAAAAAAAAAAAGACAAGTATTAAAGCACCTACTCTCTGCTTTGAATTCTGTCAGCAGATGATCTGAAATTAATTCTTCCACCGATGACTCCAGCTTCCTTTCTCCATCAATGATCCAAGGAGTTTGTGGGAGGTTCCTGGAGTATTTATTATATCTCCCTGCCAAAGAAATGTCAGGCATCCTGAATGGAATGATGTGATTAACACAGCAGGATAAAAAGAGCAGCAGCAACTATCCAATGAGTGCCAGTAGCCTAAGTGCCATGTCATAAAACAAGACCTCATCTTAACTGACAAGCTAAATTGGGAAACCATCACATGGACATTTAGATAATCAAGAAAAAGACTTAAAGTGGCAATAGAATAGATGAGTAAAGACATGACATGAATATTGCACTATGTTTGAAAGAAATGTTCAATCTATTCAGTTGACTAAATAGATATGACTATTTAGACTGTTAATATCTATGTTAGACTAATATAATATTTCCAAAAGCACCAAGGGTCATTAAACAAAAGAAAAACTATTGCTTTTACACCTCATTAACAATGTACTAGTCATTAGTGATAATGTTTGCTAACAAATTTGAATAGAGGACATTTTCTAAGTTAAACAAAACAAAACAAAACCCCAACAGAACGTGACTCCCTCCTCACTTGATGAATAAAGTCGGGCCACGCCGGGCAGCACCCGTTGTCTGAGGGCAGGATACCGTAATCAAGGCTGAAGAACAATTTCATTTTAACTATTACTATGAAACAGCCGGTAACAATCAAAACAAAAACCGTTGACTTAGATGACCTCTTGGGAAAGCCAATCTAACAGTTTGGTTTTAATTTAATTTTAAGGTGGAAGTCAAGAGTCTAGTCATACTGACAATGATAAATTCTTTCAGTTTTGCTTTCTGATTATAAAGCATTCTCTGTGCGGCTGTCTTTTTCCTGACATTTTCTGCTCTCTACATCTCCTTGGTTTTAATGTGGCCACCTCTGATGAGAACCACTAATGCCTGGGAGGTGTCAGTTTCCACTGACGTTGTATCTTAAGCAACAGGTCTGCAGTAGGAATGCCTAGTGAACTTACAGTAAGTCTGGTAGTCGAGTCTACTTCTCAAAGGCCAAACAAATCACAACCCAATAAAGGCAGTAAGAATTAAACAGAAGAGGAATCATTTTTTCAGAAAGGACAATAAGTTGACAGTGTACATATATTCTAGACTAGATAATTTTACCAGCCACAAAAACAGCACCATGAGCACATTCAATTTCAAGAACAGTGCATACAGCCTTTGGTGACTTTGGAGGACAAGGGAACTGCCTGCAAAACAAAATAGATTTTACAGCTACTATTTTCCAGACAAGATATTGAATCACAAAACTAAGATGAATCGGCATCATCTGAGACACACACACAGCTTGGGCTTCAGGAAGGTCTACTCTGCCCCCTGACTTGGCATTTCAGGACAACACGGTCTTTTAGGCAGAGCACACCACTCTTTACACCTGACCTTGGCATTATGTAAGTCGGGTTCTGCTGCTGCTTGTGAAGCTTAGGAGGCCTCAACTTCATGGATGATCATTTACAATACCCTTCAAATTCACAGAAAAAAAATCCATATATCTTAGGGGGAAAGTCCTGTTGGGCACCTTGGCCATTGTGTTCCCTGGGTCATATGCTGCTGGTTTCCTTGGGTAGTCCCCCTGTGGGAAGGGTGCTCTGCTAGTTACCTTTTTCCTTTTCACTCCAACTATAATCCTGTAAATGAGAGCCAGAAAAGGTGGACTATAGGTGCCATAGCCTCCTTCACTAAGAAGCTACAAGATATATAGAAAAGAACAAGGCATGGCTTTATTCTCTGTCCATCATGCAGGAATTGCCAAAGTCTGCTTGCAAATCGCTTGCTGTGGGTTTAACCCCAAATACGTGGCTTGAAAAACCTCATATGGTTTCCTAAGATGTTTTAACAAACCATTTAGGAAAACGTATGCATTATTGTACCAAGTAACTTACTCCACATTCTCAAACAAAAATGCTTTATGAGATTTAATTTTAGTCAGTCATATATATGAAACGTTCCACTTAATGTCATTGCTTGAAACGTACTCAAGGATCTTCTGAAAGGACAACTGCCATGATATTTTACTTTACCAAATGAATTCATAGAGAATTAATATGCAGAAGGCTAACTGTATGAAGTGTGTCTCAGTGTACTTATGCTTTACAAGAGGATACTGATGACTAAAGAGGGAGGCAACCTGCCAGAGATTTGACTGGGGAATAGAGCTCTCTGACACAGTGCTATTCCTTGGCATCTTTAATCCTGGATTTCCTACTCAGTCCATCTCCAGGTGAGGGAGGAGAAGGCTATATGTTTTTTTTTTCTTTTAAAGATCCATTTATTTTTATTGGAAAGGTAGAGGAAAGCTGGAGAGACAGAAAGATCTTCCATTGCTGGTTCACTACCCAAGTGGCCATGGCCAAAATGACTGGAACTGAGCGGATCCAAAGCCAGGAGCCAGGAGCTTCTACCAGGTCTCCCATACATGTATAGGGTCCCAAGGCTTTGGGCCATCCTCTACTGCTTTCCCAGACCATAAGCAGGGAGCTGGATGGTAAGTGGAACAGCCAGGATACAAACCGGTGCCCATATGGGATCCCAGTGCATGGAAGGCGAGGATTTAGCCGCTAGGCCATCATGCTGGGCCAGAGAAGGCTTTTGTGAGTTTCTCACTGTGATGGGAATGGCCCTGGGCCAGAGAGTGGGAGACCTGCCTCTGAGTTGAAATCTTGGGCAAGGCAACTCCCTCTTTGATCAGCAATATCCTCTGCTAAAATATAAAGAAGTTGGGACTGGATTGATAATTTAAATATTGATTTGATAATTGGGGATACAACAGTAACCAAGACATAGGTTTGGTCCCTGAAATACAACCAGCTTTTTCCTTTATTCTGAAACCTCCATGTTACTTGCATATTTTAAAACTTAAACTTACTTCCGGAAATCCTCTTCTGTTATCTTATTCAAAGCTTTCATAACTGCCATCCTAGTGAATACTGACTAAAATGGGGTAGAATGAAAAGAGAAAAAACAAAAATCAAGCATTAATTATATCATTAAAAAATAAAACAGGTGAAGTGATACATAGAACATGATTGAAGGATTGTATCATTTTACATATTTGAAAGGGAGAAATACTTTTCCCCCAGATCTCCTGAGGGATTTCATTTGCTGCATCTACCTTCTTTACCCAACATTCCTATCGAGACCCCGGCACACACACTGGCAGGTGACTGCAGGGGTTAGAGATAAAACAGAGCCAACCAGCCCACCCTGGTCATCTGTCAATCCATATCCCTCAGCAGCTGCAAAGTAGGCAGTTTTACTACTCTGAACAGAGAAGCATCTATCACAAATGTCCCGCTTGGGTTTTTTGTTTTTTCAAATAAAGTCAAGCTACCAACCTATATAGTGGAAATTTGAGAATTAACTAGCATATATCAACACGGTTGTGATAAATCACAATTGTTTGTTCTGAGAAACTGTATTCACTACAACAGAGTACAATGTAGGCATCTCAACAGTTCACCATAAAGGCAACGTTTTTTTTCTAAAGCATGTTGGGGAATTTTAGGGAGTTCTGCAAGATACAATATGATTAGAATTAGGGCAGGGTTGTGGCATAGTGGGTTAGGCTGTCACAAAGTGCTGGTTCAAATCCTGGCTATTCTGCTTCCAATCTCACTCTCTGCTAATGTGCCTGGGAAAGCAGAGAATGATCCAATTGCTCAGTCCCCATCACCCATGTGGGAGATCTTGACGGAGTTCCTGCCTCCTGACTTTAGCCTGGGTGGCTGCAGCTAACTGAGGAATTAGTCAGCAGCTACAAAATTTTCTCTCTCTTTTTTCCTCTCTCTTCTATCACTTTGCCTTTCAAATGAAATAAAGACATCTTTAAAAATAAATAAATAAAACTGGTTAGAAAGGAAAATTAAGCACCTATCTGATAAGACATGAAATCTTGGGCCTGAAAGAATTTCAAAAGGACATTCAATCTCCTTCTAGCCACAAGGCAAGAAAAGGACATTTGAGAACCAATAGTTCCTACTAGGTTAATTGTGCGGTAACTATGATGGCTTAACAAAAATTTCCTCAACCCATTGTTTGATGCTGGCACTTGTATAGTTCCTTCAATGTAACAACAAAAAATAAAACTAGATGACAAGATGTTGAGTCATTCAACTGCTGCAGCCTGCAGGGCAGACTGTGGCATAGTAAGAGCCCCAACCTTCAGTGACTTTACCATCATCCTCGGGCTGCTGCACCAACAGGCAAGGCCCCATCTAAGACATGAGGAAAGCAGGGAAGTGCCACTTAACGTGTGGTCTGCATTTCTAATTGTTTCTGCATGGTTTTTACAAATATGACAAACTCTTTTCCCTAGTTTTAAAAGGCCAGCAATTAGACAAAATAAGAGGAAAACCAGACACATTCTCATCTGTTATTTTTAATAGTTCTTACAAATAGATGTCATTAAAACTGTAAGAATATCTGACAATATATCAATCAGCTAAGTACCTGGTGTGAAAGTATGTCACCACTGCACCATGCCATGCTATCCTAGAATAACAGGTTATGGTACATGCTAATGAATTTGCTTAGTAACATGAAGTTCAGCTAATTTCATACTGGACTATGTTTTCAGCCCTTTCTGCAAACACAGACTGAAGTAGGCTATTCAGGTTACTATCTCTAATCTGAAAATCTGAAATCCAGATTAAGAAGGCTCAATATGTAAAGTCTAGTAAACAATTAAAAATCTGGAACAGTCCAAAAACTACCTGAAACGTGAAACATTTCTAGTCCAAAGCATTTTGGGTGAGGGATACTCAACCTAATTAAAGGTTATCCTAAATAATTAATTTTGGACATTTAAAATACCAATTTCTAGGAAATGTATTTTAGACAGAAATTTGGAATGCTATCAAAAGTGCACATGGATTTTCCCAGATGATGTAACTTGGTGGATTAAAATCTAAAAATTGGATTTCCCCAAATGGGTAATAGTAACACCACTGAAACACCAATTCTGAATTATGTGACCTGGTGGACAACCCAGACACACAAATAGGAGGATGCCTGTGTGCTGCAACCTCCTCACCAGAGGCAAAAGCACTAACATTTTTTTTTTCTTAAATAGCAATAAAGGCAGCAAACAGAAATACTTAAAAATTGATTTTTGGTTCCTCATTTCTGAACCACACATCTAATGCAAATCCTTTGAAATATTTATGTTAATAAGCTGAGACAACACTCACTAATTATATAATAAGAAAATGAAATCCTTACCTGTTTATTTTTTGCTGGCTTGAAACAATCTGAGCATATCATACCTCTACAATACAATTCAAATTAATGTACAGGTTAGTCGGGTTATTTAGGCAAAGGTACACTTTAAATATACTTTCTATAACATGGCTGCCAAACTCAGAACATGAGAAGCAGACAAAAATTAATCTTGACACAAACTGCATTGGCTTCCTAAGAATCTTGTACTAGAACATTGTCTTAAATCTATCAAGAGATGACATGTGCATTAGAAAGAGAAGCAACACTATTTTCATGAAGACCAAAAAAAGGATGAACAGTTTCACACAATTGACATTGTAGTTCATGTGGCAACTTACAGGAAGTGGCAATCCTCAACTGTTTCTGCGTGAGCAAAGACCACACTCACTTCAAACAAGCTCTAAAAATTATAAAGACAGTTTACAAATGAGCAAAAGGAAACCAACATCTAACAGCTTATGAATGGAAATAGACATTAACTCTCAAAGGCTGGCTCAAAAAGGGGTGACAGGCATAACTAGAAACACTACTGCTCTCCAGCAGCTTGTTCGCAGGGCAGCTGACTGTGTGTGCGTATGTGTGTGTGGTGCACCCATGCACATATTAACTTCTGAAACTCAGTCATCACTAATGATACTGCCAAAAAAAATAGCTAGCTAAATTTTGAAACAAATGTGTATAAATTTGGAAACAGATATGTAAATCAGATGTGAAGAAAAAATAATTTAGGGTACTGAAAGAAATTATGAACAGTTCTGCTAATACTGTGATTAGGATTATTAGCAAGGAAAAAAACATATTACTCACATCCTTAAAAACTACACATCAAGCTTCTTTGGAAAAAATTCAAATTTCTTAAGAGATCTGAGTCTCAAAAGAGACATTGATTTTTTATTATGATAAAAATAAATTAAAGTTAAAATTTTATAAACTTTTATTATAAATGGTGTATATATATATAAATTCTAAAACAATAAAGGTTAATGGTTTTTGTTCCCACTTGTTAGGAGCAAAACTATTAACAATTTGACATGTATATTTCTAGGGTTTTTTTTAATGAATATAAATATGCACATATATACTTTTTTAGTTAATAGACATATATTGGGGAAAAAAAATCTCATGCACATCCTTTCAATTCCAGGGAGTTTCATTTAAATTGTAAAATATTTTTGTTATTTATTTATTTATTTTTTTTAAAGATTTATTTTTATTATTTTTTCATTGGAAAGGCGGATATACAGAGAGGAGGAGAGACAGAGAGGAAGATCTTCCATCCGATGATTCACTCCCCAAGTGAGCGCAACGGGCCGATGCTATGCCGATCCGAAGCCAGGAGCCTCTTCCAGGTCTCCCACGCGGGTGCAGGTTCCCAAAGCTTTGGGCTGTCCTCGACTGCTTTCCCAGGCCACAAGCAGGGAGCTGGAAGGGAAGCGGGGCTGCCGGGATTAGAACCGGCGCCCATATGGGATCCCGGGCGTGCAAGGCGAGGACCTTTAACCACTTGCGCCACCGCGCCGGGCCCAATATTTTTGTTATTTAAAAAAATGCTACAGTGAGCATTTTTGTACCTCAAAAAGCCACAATTTCATATTTCCTATCCTTTTGCCTCTATGGAGAATTCCACATTGAACAAACGCAATAAATGTTATAGCATGTTACAAATGGGTCTGTCTTTTTATTTAATTCAGTATTTACTGGGTTCTGTATTTACTGATTTCATTGGACTATCAACAATCCTATTGGTTATTCTAGAATCATAACATTGAATATCTGCTTCTTTGTACTTTATTCTAAACTACAAAACAAAATTAAGGCAAACATTTATTTAAAAAAAAAAACTCTCACTTTGCCTGAAACTATTAGAACATTACATATTTGTTTTCTATTTTCTGTTCTCACTGTTCATCATGTAAATGCATTTGTGCTTCAAAACTGAAATTTGAGGTAAAAATATTTTGCATTAATGACTTCTCTAATTTCCAAAGTACTTTCATTACCTCATTTCCTCCTCCTACTATCTGTGAAGTGGTTTTATTCTCTATTCTCTCAGTGTTCAGCTTAAATAACAGTCAGAGCTTGCTCTTACTAACAGAAGAAAATAGAGCTGTATGACTCAGAATGGTCAAACAAAAGCACTCAGCTTTGTGATCTTATTAAAACAGTGGTGATTACTTCAGCATGCGTGTGTGTGACATTCAGGGAATTTCAAAAAAAAAATGATGAAGCAATGAGGTTGTACCATTAACACCTAATTTAAACTATACTGACTCTGCTAAAAGCTAATTAAAAAAATTTTTAAATTAGATTAAAATAAATAAAATCTATGAAAAGCTAGGAATAGGTCTGGTTTTTCACATCTGGAAATCCACCAAGCGTTTGTCAGGATTCAATCCACACAGGGATGGAGGCAAGATCTTCTCTAGACTAGGACACCTGGCTAAGTGTCTTGGTTCTCAGGTAAACACAGTGGCATAGCCTGAGCTCACCCCTGCTGTGTTCACTCACATCTGTCTGTGCATTTGAAAATGCAATTAGACACAGAGATAAATTAAAGTGTAAAGCTGACACTACACTTGCTCACAGTTACTTATGCAACGTTGTGTAACAAACATGTCCCTCCAATTACAGTATAAATACACTGAAGGCAAAGGTTCATTTGTTAGCTTTTAAAAGTTAATTATGGGGCCCGGCGCAGTGGCGCAAGTGGTTAAAGGTCCTCGCCTTGCACGCCCGGGATCCCATATGGGCGCCGGTTCTAATCCCGGCAGCCCCGCTTCCCTTCCAGCTCCCTGCTTGTGGCCTGGGAAAGCAGTCAAGGACGGCCCAGAGCTTTGGGACCCTGCACCCCTGTGGGAGACCCGGAAGAGGCTCCTGGCTTCGGATTGGCATAGTATCGGCCCGTTGCGCTCACTTGGGGAGTGAATCATCGGATGGAAGATCTTCCTCTCTGTCTCTCCTCTCTGTATATCCGCCTTTCCAATGAAAAAATAATAAAAATAAATCTTTAAAAAAAAAAAAAGTTAATTATGGTACCATGCACTTACTATATTCACAAGAGTCTTGGATCCCAAAGAAAATAAGGAAATAAAATATCTAATCTTAATTTAAGATAATCAGAAATTGCCATTTTAAAGGTTTAAAAAGCCTTTAATGACTTAAAGATTCTTTTGGCTAGCCAACTTTGCCACATAATGCAATAAAACAAACATCATAGAGAATAGAATTAATAATACAGATGACTCCATACCTTTCCATCAACAGGAACACCCAGTTCCTCTAAAAACAGGGGATGAGTTATCCATTTGTAAGCTTCTTTTAGCTGAATTATATCATTTCTTCCCAGAGACAGATTCTGCTTCCTGAAGAACATAAAAATTAATTCACTAACATTCTCTTAAAGAATGCATGCAATTACTTAAAAATATTGACCAAATGCCTACTGTGTGTTAGACACTGTTCTAGATATTAGATAAAAGGTAGAAAACAAAGTGAACAAGAATTCCTCACCACATGGACTTTGTATTTGTGCAACTGGGAACTATTTTTTAAAATGGCATTAAGATACTTTTAAAAGCTTCAAAGAAACAAAGCAAATTGCTGGGGTTTTCTGGACCTGCCAGATTCCATGATTTATACATTAGGAAATGGGTCATTTATTGCTCACAATCTATAAGCTGTGCATTGCAATAATCATATCCATATTTAAAATACTAGCATTTCCTTTTCTGCGGAAAATGGGGCTCACTTGTGGGAAATTCATGTAAAAAGCTGTGTCTTATTTTTCCTGTACTGCTGAAGAAGAAATACTCAATTCTAAAGTATCAATGTTCTAAAATGCTTATCAATATAGTATCAGATAAATGTTTGAATAAAAAACTGACCTTCCCCACAAATATACATATGAGCCAATAAATAGATTTTGGGAAGTACCTAAAATGAGTTCTAATTTTTGTCTGTAACCTAAAATTGTGATAGAAAGGAACTGAGGTAAGAATAAAGAAATTATTAAAACTGTTCTACTCAGTTGAGAACACTGAGATATTACATCATTCATCATTTAAATAATTAAAACTTCAAACCAGTCAAATGCTTATTTACAGGGCTTTTTTTTTTTAAGAGCTAGTTAAGACCAACTTTTAAAGCAGCCCACAAATTGTCTAATTTTGACTCCTAGATATTATAGGCAATATCCAATCCAGTCAGAGCAAAAAGCAGTACTGATTACCAGCACAAAACAAAAGTGATTTAGTTCATAGCTAAATTCAATTCATGTAAAAAAAAAATCACTCTGTCTAAAATTGAAAATTTAGAACTAGTTGATTTTTCCCGTTCTGAACCCAGCTGAGAACATGACTGGTCACAGGGAGGACTTTTGTGTGCTTTGGTATTGTGATACAACATGGAAACGCTCGGCTAACGCATCTGACAAAGAATCCAAATGATTCTCTATACTGAAGAGCCTATTCAGACACTAAGCTTCATAAGCTAGAAACCATTCAGAAACCGTTCTTGAAATTTTAAGACTGTCATAGGATCAATAATTTAAGGATTTAATGACATACACAGAAAATAGCATTACAGTCAAAAGTTTGGGGATTTTTGCTTTTGTGTTTTCTTTTTAATCTGAAAGGCAGAGGGACGGAGGTAGAGACACCTTCATTTGCTAGTTCACTTTCCAAAGGCTTGCAATAGCCAGGGCTGGGTCTAGCTGAAGCCAAGAATTCAAGCCATTTTCCATGTAGGTGGCAGATGTTCAAGGATCTGAGCCATCCCATCTGCATGAAGGTGGATGGAAAGTGGCCGCAGAATTCTACTTTAGGCAGTAACACATGGGATGCAGGTATCCCAAGTGTTGGATTATAGCTGTTCTGCCACATGCCCATCTTTTTCCCTTCTTCCTTCTTTTCTTTCTTTCCCTTTCTTTTCCCAGTCACCCAAATGGCTACCTCTAAACTTCTTAATGGCACTGTGAAAGAAATTTTTAAAGTACTCTTTTTTTAAAAAAGATTTATTTTTACTACTTTTTTATTGGAAAGGCGGATATACAGAGAGGAGAGACAGAGAGGAAGATCTTCCATCCGATGATTCACTCCCCAAGTGAGTGCAATGGCCGATACTATGATACTATGCCAATCCGAAGCCAGGAGCCTCCTCCGGGTCTCCCACACGGGTGTAGGGTCCCAAAGCTCTGGGCCGTCCTCGACTGCTTTCCCGGGCCACAGGCAGGGAGCTGGAAGGGAAGCGGGGCTGCCGGGATAGAACCGGCGCCCATATGGGATCCCGGGCGTGCAAGGCAAGGACCTTAACCACTTGCACCACCGCGCCGGGCCCTTTAAAGTACTCTTATGCAAGGTAAAAATACTAAAGATGCAGGTTTTCAATCCTGAAGTTCAAATGCGACTAATAAGCTTTAAAATATGCTTTAGGCTGTCTTCATACTCGCTTAAGTGATTTACACAAAAGGTAATTTAATTTATTTTTTGGGGTTGGGGGTATAATCCATACTTGTCCTTTTAAAAGCGTAATTTACATTAACGTATATGGACAACCAGGTTGCTGGCAGCCCAGTGGGTTAAGTTGTAGCTGTGACATTAGCAGCCTTTGTCTGAGTGCTGGATCAAGTTATGGCTGCTCTGGTTCCAATTCAGCTTCCTGCTGATGTTTGCCGGAAGCAGCAGACAATGGGCCAAGTTTTTGACCCCCTACTACTCTAGTGAGAGTCCCAAATCAAGTTCTTGGCTGTTGGTTTTGGACTGGCCCAGCCCTGGAGAGTAAACCAGGTGGAAGATCATTCTCTGTCTCTCCCTCTGTGACACTTAACCTTTCAAGTAAATAAAATCAAATCTACCAGATTTCTAAACATATGAGATAAAATTCTATTATGCCAGAATTATAAGCATTTGAGACTAACTTAGCAAAGCCTAATTAAACCTCCAAAACCTCTGATAAATTTGTAATTACACTTCTAAAAGTACAAATGTGGAATAAAAAGCAAGAAACAAATCTAACTTATTTTTTCTATATGTCATTTAAGCAAGTATGAGATTCTGATAAAATAGATACGTGTGTGTATTTATTCACACACACACACACACACACACACACACACACACACACACAGAAGGCTTCCTCTGCATCTGTTGGTACCCGCCAGGTCAGCCAGGATGGGGGCATGCAAGTGACCCAGGAGCAAGGGAGAGAGAAGCAGTGAGATGTGATGAGCTTTCTCCTGAGGGATGTTGCTGGCATATCTGCCAACACTCCAAGCTGCACAGGGTGCCCTGTCCATTTGACCCAACAAGGTGCATAGCCTGGGATACCAGGCCAAGCAAGATTATATCACATATGTGCTAAGGCAGTATGATCTATGACCAGCTTGCCCAGTATGGTGTTAACCAGTTAAAGTTTGTAAGCAGCTCCAGTCTGTTGCTGAAGAACAAATGGGGATACTGTGAAGCTGTCAGAGTCCTGAATTCTTCCTGGGTTGGTAAAAATCCTACATACAAATACATTCTTAGAGTTTATCCTCTGTGATCCATAAAACTATCAGAAGAAATCCTGACACTCAGTGGGTCACGAGACCCATCCGCAAGCACAGGAACATGTGTGGGCTAACATCTGCAGGACCCGTGGATCATTGCCTTGGGAAGGCCCACATTTCCCACCACACTGTTGGCAATTTTTCTTATGTAGCCTGGAGAAGGTACAGTCCCCTCCAACTGCACTGTCACTGTTAACACAAGTAATATTTTTAAAATTCATAACAAATAACCATTTAGGACTGCCATGTGTGCTTAACGGTGCTTTTGTCAGCTAAAATCAGTCTTCAGATAATTTCATGAATACTGTCAAATTGGAAAAATTAAAAATCATAGTTAAGACTTAAAAGTGCAATAATATTTGAAGACTTAAGTGATGGTATATCTTATTCTAAAAGACAAACTTTGTCTTTACCTCAGTGCTTAAAACATGTCATGTGATAATATAAATGTAAAATAAGATCTCTAACAGGGAGGAAAAATACCTCTATACTTCTCTCTGGGTCCTCCCCAGTTAACATTGGAGCCTCTAGCAAAGCACAGAGCACTTTCCATACTGACAACATTTTTTATTTGAAATCTACAGAGTACTAGGGAATTAAAAGCTGTCTTTATTTTTTAAAAACTCTTTTGGCAACCTAATTCTGGTGAACAGCAAGTCTATTATCTGTTTACTAAACTTAGTGTGAGTATTCTTGTTTCACTGTAGAAATATTAATACATTTGCCTACATCGTACCACCCCAAGTCCTGGAGGAAAGGAGTATTAACATGACAGGGTCAGATTACATTCTTACAGTCCAAAGATTCTAAGTCCAAAAATGTATTTGGCCCCTAAGGGTCCCAGATAAAGGATTGCAAAGCTAGGTCATCTATGTGATATCTACGTATGAACCCACAGTTGTTCTGCCTTAACTATGATTTTTAACTTTTCCAATTTGATTTCTAAGACCAAGGTAAAATCTACTCTTCAAATAACTTCCCAGATTACACTATAATGTGCCTAAAACCTGTGTTTGCATTCACTTTACCTCTATATAGGCAAGAAATCTGCTTTAAGGGATTGCTAAACTGCCTTGAAAGTGAACTAAACACTAATACTCTAAATTTCTATGTTAAAAAAATGATTTCTTCCCACCAATTTCTCTAGTAGGTAGTGAATCCACTCTTAAAGACCAGAGAAGTAGCAGTAGTGCTTGTGGTAGTAAAAGTACTTCAAGAATCAGGTAACTTGTACTTAAATGGTAGTAAAAATTCCCTACCTAAATTACTTACCCCATTTCCTGTTTTACCAGCAACCATGCAGCATGCTGTAGGCAATTTAGTCACACCAGAGTGAAAAGAAAAAGGGGGAAATGTTCAGTGAAATTAGGTTCCAGTATCATCATTGAACTGTTTAACGAATTTGCTAATCAAACTCCCCTTTTTTGGAGAGGAGTTAGTGTTTAGAACTGTGGCAGTAATGTTACTCTCATTTAAAATCATGAATGAGGTAAGACCTCACTTAGCAGCACTGACTCTCTGTGGCCTAGGAATTCAACAGGGATATCCCCCTACTCCCTGCAGAATTCTATTTCTCATTATGAGGTCTGAGTGTTCTTACCGTGGGGAGCTTACAAGTTTTTCGTAAAACAACTCTATTATTTCATGCGGGAAAAAGCCCAAAATGACCAGGCACACAGTCCCAGTTTTTTGTTATTGTTTTTTTTCAGTACGGCTATCACATTTAACTCTTGATAATATCTACACCTCAGTAAGATGTACTAATGCGCACAACTCATGATGAAATATAATAAAAACTAACTTGAAGGGATGGATGGCTAGATCCATAACATAGCAGATACAAAATAAAAAGTAGAATCTAAAGAGTATATTAGTATTTACTAACAATTCTTTCAACTTTTCTATATTCTGAAAAATTCTCATACTAAAATTTTAGAGAAAACATTTTGGAAAAGATTAATAAGCTGAAAAAAATTTACTAACATGAAGATAACATTCACAATCATAGACATCACATGATTAAATTAAACTTTTAGAAGCTGCTTTGTGTGGTAGTTGTGTGACACTTAAGATTTCTCAGTTCTCCATTAGATTCCCACAGCTTTCACCTTTATGAAAGCTTATGACGTGTCTTGGCACTAGAGTGTATGGCATATGGTGAACATAATGGGAACTGCCATATAAATTAATAAAGTACCACAAATAGTTTCTGTTTCCACATGTCACAAAAATGGCTAGTCATTATCCCCCACACTCCTTCAACATAACATACGTATACACTGTGGCTCATATGTAGTACCATGTTCTGTATAATGGGAAATTCCTTCAAATGACGATAGTAAGGACTTCAAAGACTGGCAGTAATTCAGAAATGTGAGGTACAACTAATACAGCCTGACTTGAGCCAAGAAAAGAATCTAATCACTAGGTAGAGAACTTATCCCAATGCCGGAAAGTCTTGGCAGTGTCTCCCAATTCTCTGGTTTGTTATTCCACAGGGCTCAACCTAAGATAGTTTACAGTGCCACCATCTCTCTTCCTGGGTATCCAAGCCCTGTTTTCAACTGTTTGAGCACAGTATAACACACAAATTACTAGGAATAAGAAAACCCAACTTTATGTAATTTCTAGAGCTCAGTTTCCTAATGTGTAAAACAAGAGGATTGGACTATGATGCTAATCTTAACTTTTCTGAATGGCTAAAAGTAATCATTAATAGGCATAATATTCTAACTATAGGACTTTGAAATCAGAAATAACAAATTAGGATTTCCTAAAAGTGAAACCTTATAGTCAATATTGCCCCCCCTTCCTTCAGCCTCCTACTTTAAGAGATCAATAAACAGCAATGTCCTGATCTATACAGAGTGTTAGTAAAGTCATCTCTTCTTATCTGTGGGTAATTGGTTTCAGGATCGCTTCCCGCCCCACCTGTGAATATCAAATGTAACAAATGCTCAAGTGCCTTATGAATGGCACAGTATTACTTACATATAATGTATACACATCCTCCCATCTCATATTTTTCCTTTTTGAGAAGCAGAGAGGCAGGCAGAGCAGCCAAAAAGAGCTTCCATCCACTGGTAAACTCCCCAAATGCTCAAAAAAACCACACCCAGGAACTCAATCTACGTCTTCCACGTGGGTGGCAGAACCATCACCACTGTCTCCCAAGAGTCTGCACAAGCAGGAAGCTGGAGTCAGGTGCCAGAGTCAAATACTGAACCTAGGTCTGTGATGTGGCACAGAGAGGTCTTCATGTCTAACCACTAGTTTAAACACCTGTCCCCTCCTATGTACTTTAAATCACCTCTAGGTCACTTATAATACCTAGTAAAATGTAAATTCTATGTAAGTAGTACTCAGACTGTACCTCAGTGAATGGTAACAAAGAAAGCCTGTATGTGTTTAATATACAATTTCTTTAAGAATATTTTCCCTCCATGTTTAATTGAGTCTGCAGATACAGGATTGAGTGTACTTCTTTTGAATGAATACTAGGAAGGTTTCACAAAATTGTGGATATACAGAGCCAGGTAACATGCCTGTCATGTACTTAGTATTACTATTACTGCTGAATTGAAAGCAAATGTATAATTTCCAGATAATAACTTCAAATTTATCCCTTGAAAAATTTATAGGATTTGGTTCCCTCACCTCATATCCCAATCTATTCTGTTACAGGTAGTTCTTGAACCTGTCTGATCAATGAGATCTGAGCTACACAAAACTATCTGTTTCTTCTTGAAGGGATCTCAGACTCTCTGTCCTTTGTCAATCATCTTTTTGCCTTTTGTTTCCTGAGGCAAACTGTTCCGTATCATCAATTGCAGGTGAGGCCAGCAAGTATGTGATGCATTCTGCCATCCTTTGGTTATAAAGTAGGGCAGAACTGGAGGTTGCCAAGGGAACCCAGATAACCAAGTGTAACATGTGAAATTCAATCAAATGTCTTTAGTACCTGAGACTTGCTAAAGGGCTTTCCTTCCTAATCCTCAGCAGGCTCCCTGCACAAGCAAGCCAGCAGGTTGGACAGAACTAATCACACAGCAGGGGCCAGAGGGCTGAATCCCAGAGAACTCAATATTGCTCAATTATTCCATTTTTACCACATGCTAATAATGCCCTGGACCTGCCACTGTCAAAGAAAAAGAAATACATTTCTCCCTTTTAGGTCACCAGGATAATTTTAATAAATGTTCTATTCCTTAGTCAGTAAGGAGGGAGAAAAATCAGTCTTCAGAGTAAGCAATTAAATTTTTCTTCCTTAACAGAACCAAATGGCATTAAACTTATCAACTTTAATCAAATTTGATACCAGAGGCAGTATGTCAACTCCTGAAAATTCAGGAACCATACAATTTAATCCTGGATTATTTATTCTAACCAAGTCCTAATTGGGGCATTTGAATAATTGCTTGCACAGTGCTTGTGTACTCTGGTTACACGTACACACTCAGACGATAGGTTTGTGCCTAAAAATGGCTCTTGAGCTTTTGGGTTTTGAGCTAGAGGCTCATCAAGGTTGCACCAACAGGAAGTTGGGATCAGGAGTTGGAGCCATGAATCAAACCCAAGCATTTCTAGAATGGGAGTAAATAGCATCACAACCAATATCTAACTACCGTGGTAAACACCCTTAATTTTATTTTTTTGATATTTATTTTTATCTATTCACATCTATTTGAAAGGTAGAACAAGGGCAGAAAGGTGTCTTGCATCTGCTGGTTCACTCCCTAAATGTCTTTGACAATCAGGGCTGGGCCAGGAAGAAGGCACACTGAACTCCATCTGGATCTCTCATGTGGTAGTACGGGACCAAACATTTCCCCTAACACCTGCTGCCTACCAAGATGCATTAGCAGGAAGCTAGATCAGAAGGCAAGTAGCTAGGGATTCAAACTGCTGCTCTGCTATGTGAGGTGGGCTTACTATATACACAGGCCTACCCCATCACTCCTAATTGAACAAAAAAAAAGGAAGCCCAAATTATTTCTACACATAAAAAGATGTGAAATTTCACACGAAAATCAAATAAGTATAAATTAAAACAACTTTCACATGTAGGTTAGAAAATACTGAAAAGCATGATTTACTACTTTGGCAAAGCTATGCAGTTGCAATATATTACAAACTGATACTCCCTTTAAGGAGGGCAACATGGAAATACCTACCACAATTTCACATATGTATTTCCTTTAATCCAGTATTTTCACTTCTAAGGACTTGCCAGACAAACATATAGATACACTAGAGGGATGTGCACTGCAAATTGCATATGTAATAAGAAACAATGAAGGGGATCTGACTATTGAGCTGGTTAAATGGACTGAAGAAATTCTGATTTAATAGAATCTGGTAAATTCTAACATTAAGGACTTTCCATCATAGGTTCTTCCAAGAAAAAAAAAACAGTACAGCATATGAACCCAAATCATGGATGAAACATGTATGTGTTTACATAATTTCACAGCAAAAGATCTAAAAAAGATATACCAAAGTGTTTCTCCAGAAACATTTAGGAAAGAGGAAGAGAAAGAGATTAATTTTAACTATATACACTTCTGAGTGGCTTTTTATCAATAATGTTCTACTTTTGCAACTTTAAAAATGTAAATGAATCTTATGAATCCATTTCAAAAACTTAACAATCATATCATGAATTTATACATATCATATATACTCTTATGTAAGTTTGTTAAAACAAATTACACCTCAATTTATTGCCAAATCAATTTACTAAGTAATCAGAAGTAACATTAGATCATAAAAGCTTTTATTTGATTACATACCGATAATTAGAAAAATTTTAATTTAAGTATATCTAGTAAGTTGAAATCTATTACTTAAGCCTTAGCAAACAAAAGCAGAGAACAGTTTCTATTTTTGAACTGGGAATTCATTTTAATTTTTGACAGATTTACAGACTTTTTGAAACTCAGTATTTCTATAACAAATTTGTGTTGAATATAGTGTTTTTTTTTCCCCCCTCTTCCTTTAGTGGCTTGTGTGGACAGGGCTCTGTCTCTTGGGTTCAGTACAGATCATCTCTGCAACCCTTCAGTATGTATTCACAGTTTCAGAACACCTGTTACAGGAGAAAATTCAGATGTTTGCAGTAAAAGTGCTATTTGTGCTTTTGCATCAGGGAAATCAAACGAAAATGGATTAAGACTACCCACTAATTCAGAATGTTGTGTTCTGAATAATAGTCTGGGGAAATTTGCGTTTCTGTAGCAAAGGTTTTATTCATAGACGAGGTAGGTTAATAAAACAAACCATATTTTCAGGACCTATGCTTTAAATT